AAAATAATGAGGTGATGTTATTTGGAATACTTGAGACTAAAATCAGAGACTGTAATTTCAAAGAAGTGGAGGGGAGAATGTTCAATAATTGGGGTTCCTTCATCAACAACAATGTCCACTACCTGGGGAGAATATGGGTAGTATGGGACACAAAGAAAATTGTGGTGCAAATACTCGAGGTGACTGATCAACTGGTAAATTGCAACTGCAGGAGAGCAGGGGATAATATAGAATATTGTGTGACATTTGTTTATGGCCACAATGACTCTACTAAAAGAAAGGAATTATGGAATGAGATTAGCAATATATCTGCTAATATGAATAGACCCTGGTGCATCTTAGGGGAGTTTAATAATGTTCTAACATTTGATGACAGAGTCGGAGGAAATCCTGTTACTTGGGAAGAGATCAGAGACTTTAAGGAATGTATGCAAATTAATGGGTTGGAGGAATTACCAGCTGAAGGTGCCCAGTTCACGTGGTCTAATAGACAAGGAGTAGGCAGAAGGATATACTCTAGAATTGATAGGGCAGTAATTAATATTGAATGGATTGCCCAATCTAGGGCAAAACTTATTATCAAAGAGGAAGGGATGTCTGATCATACACCTCTATTAATAAAACTATGGAAGCAGGATAAGGGAGGGCACAGGTTCAGATTTTGTGATATGTGGACCATGGACCCTAACTTCTCTAACCTAGTTAAGGAGAATTGGGAAAAATGTGTTCAAGGGAGAAGCATGTACCAATTGGTGAAGAAGCTGAAGATACTTAAAACACAATTCAAAAGCTTGAATAGAGAGAAATTTGGAAATATAATTCAAAGATGTGACATAGTCAGGAATGAACTCTATGCTGTGCAACATGAGATTAAGGGGGATATCAACAATGAACTGCTGATCAATAAAGAAAAACAATTGATACAACAACTCAATTGGAACCTGAGAGCAAGCTACCTGTTGAAATGCCAACAAGCAAAACAAGAATGGATCCTTGAAGGAGATCAAAATTCAAGGTTATTCCATGCATGGGTTAGAAAGAGACAGATCCAAAACCATATCACCACAATATACAATAAAAGAGGGGAGCTTGTAGAAGGAATGGAAGACGTGACTAGGGTAGTGCTGCAATATTTCCAAGAGGCATTGGGAACCACAGTTTGGACAGATAATATTAAGAAGGAGATTATTAACAAGGGCAGAGTG